TTAGCAATGGAATATCTATCGCTAAAATAAATATCCCTCACAAGTTAGCAACTGAAAAGTCCATCATTAAAGGTTAAAAATTGAGAGGATTTTTTGAAAGTCCAAACCACCAAATTAGTGACGGATCAATAAGGAGATCGTGGTCTTTACTATTTTTCACTCCCTAATTAAACCCATTTCTTCTTCCTCTCCTTTTCCAACCAGTCGTCAATCTCCTCCCTACCAAACCACCACCAAACTCCACTCCTCCACTCACAATAGGAAAATCGGATTTTATCTATGGATTTTAGCAATGGATTGTAGTCTCGTCTCTAAATAATGAGTGTATAGCAACCGAATAGCATCTCGTGGTGTTTAGCTATGGAATAGCGAGTGGAATAGGTTTTGTCCCTATTTGTGATGCCAAAAATTCTCCAAGTGTTTTAGCTATGGATTAGCCACGGAACAACTAGGGAAAATAGCGACGGATTTATTAAATCCATTGCTATTTTTTATGACTTTTAGCGATAGAAGATCCGTCGTTGTCGTTAAAAGTCATTTCGTGGAAATTTTTTACCATTGCTAATTCTCAAAAAATGGGCGCCTTTCGAAATTCAAAAAGGCAGCCTATTTAGCTACTAAATAGCGATGGATATGAATTTGTTGTTGATTTTCTCGCTCTAAATCCACAAATTTCCCTTTCTTTCTTGCCTCTTCTTCTTCTTCTTCTCTTCTCATTCTCCTCGTCCAACTACTCGTCACACCTCTTTCCCCCTCCCCCAAAACAATCACAAAACTCTCCATCTCCACCGTCCATCCATCTAGACCCACTCCAAACTCTTTTCTCCTTGAAAACCCTAACTTTTTTCTTCATTCCTCTCCATTTTTCCCTAAATTGGGGAACTTTTCTCACCCTTTAGCTTATTAATTATTACTTAGTAATTTATCATAATTTTTAGATTAATTTTAAATGTAATTTGTTAATATGTAATTTTGTATATATTTCATTGTTAATTTGTTATTTTTTTGCTATTTGTTTGGTGAATTTGTTAATCAATTGTTATTTGAATTTAATTAGTTTTGAATTAGACTTAATTTATTTAATTTGATTTAGGTTTAAACTTAATTAGGTTTGTTTTTGAAATAATTAGGTTAATTTGATTTAGGTTTAATTAATTAATTAGGTTAATTTTGATTACTTAATTGATTTTTAATTTTATGTATATTAGAAATTGTTAATTATTTGTTATTTTAAAGTTTAATTAGGTTTAATTTTATTTAGGTTCAATTAATTTGATTTATGTTTAGATTCAATTAGGTTTGACTTAAATTTAATTAAGTTAATTTGATTTATATTTAGTTTTAATTAGATTAGATTAATTAGGTAAAAGTTAGTTAGGGTTAAATTAATTGGGTTAAATAAGATTAATATGTTCATTTTTAATTTTATTTATATTTTAATTTGTTAAGTTATTGTTAAATTAAATTATATGTGAATTTGAGTTAATTTAATTATTTTGTATATAATTATTGAAACATGCGGAGATACGTCGATTCGAGAAACGAAGGATAAATTCTACACTCTATAGAGTCGGATAGAGATGGGGCTAGGGTTGTAACAAGGCATACAACATAGGCCCATCGGTCATACCGACCCCCACAAATCATGAGTCGGTCGTTTTTCCGAATACAAGTGGCAAAAAGATGATGATAATGAGAACTAAATATTTTTTTTGGGATTTCAATGTTTTTGTACACTCGAATGCATTTACATATTTATTTAATTTTAAATTATATTATTTTAATTTTATTAAATAGTATATCATGTTTTAATTAGATATTATTTTTAGTTGTTTGTTACTACCATTAACATTAAATGATTATTAATTAAAAAATTAATGTATTTAGCGACAAATCGGAGACTAAATTACGACAAAAAATAAAGCAAATAGCGATGGTTTTGTGACGAAATTAAGAATAAGAGATGACTATTTTTCATAGGAAATAGCAATCGCAATTCGAGCCTTTAGCGACGAATCGTCGTCTCTAAATCAATGACAAAATGATCCGTCCATCACCGATATTTTAGCAACAATAGTTTCAGCAACAATATGTTAATCGTTGCTAATCTGGCGCTATTATATAATAGCAATGGATTTACGGGATTTAGCAATAGAATTTTCTGTCCCTAAATCCCTTTTTTTAGTGTGACTTTCAATCAATTCACACCCATTTGAAGGTTTTTTCTTAAAAGAAAAAAATCCTCTTTTTTCTCGTCTCTCCTCTTAGTATAATTCCACTCAAATTAGATAAGTTTTTTCTCTTTTTTATTTTTTTAATTAAAGTTAGTAATTTATTATTATTTTCACGTTAATTTTAAGTTTAATTGTTTGATTTATAATTTTGAATGTATTGAATTGTCATTTTGCAAATTTATTTGTTAAATTGTTACTTTTCGTTAATTTTTAGGTTCATTTCTTCATTAATTTGGTAAATTGTTAAATTTTGTTAATTGTTACGTAATTTGTTAATTAACTATTATTTACATTTAACTAGAATTGATTTTTAATTAATGAAGTTAATTTTATTTATTTTTAATTAATTAATTAGGTTAATTTTTTTAATTGGTTGAATTTTAATTTTATTTATATTAGAAATTGCTAATTAATTATTATTTAAATTTTAATTTGGTTAGAGTTAGAATTAATTAAGTTAATTTGATTTATGTTTAATTAATTAATTTTTTAATTTTTTTTAATTGATTGAATTTTAATTTTATTTATATTAGGACCCGGTAATTAATAGCTGTTTTAAATTTAATTAATTTAATATTATTTAAGTTTAATTAATTAATTAGGTTAATCTTTTTAATTCGTAGAATTTTATTTTATTTATATTAGCAATTTTTAATTAATTATTATTTTAAATTTAATTTGGTTATAATTAGAATTAATTAAGTTAATTTGATTTATGTTTAATTAATTAAATTTGTTTAATTGGTTGAATTTTAATTTTATTTATATAATAGCGATGGATTTATGGGATTTAGTGATGAAATATTTTGTTGCTAAATCTTTTTTTTTTGTTTTTTTTGTAGTGATTTTTCATCAATCCACACCCACTCCAAGCTCATTTCTTCAAAAAAATTTCCTCTTTTTTCCTTCCTTGCTCTTGGTGTAATTCTACTCGAATTACATAATTTTTTTCTCTTTTTTATTTTCTTAATTAAAGTTAGTAATTTATTTTAATTTTTAGTTTAATTGCTTGATTTATAATTTTGTGTATATTGAATTATTATTTTGTATATTTATTTGTTAAATTGTTAATTTTTGTTAATTTTTAGGTTGATTTCTTCATTAATTTGTTTAATTTTGTTAATTTTTAGGTAAATTTATTTATTAATTATTATTTAAATTTAATGAAAATTGATTTTTAATTAATTAAGTTAATTTTATTTATTTTAGTTAATTAATTTGGCTATTTTTTAATTGGTTGAATTTTAATTTTATTTATATTAGAAATTGGTAATTAATTATTATTTAAATTTTAATTTGGTTAGAATTAGAATTGATTAATTTAATTTGATTTATGTTTAATTAATTAATTAGGTTAATGTTTTTTAATTGGTTGAATTTTAATTTTATTTAAATTAGAAATCAGTAATTAATTGTTCTTTTAAACTTAATTAATTTAATATTATTTAATTTTAATTAATTAATTAGATTTTTTTAATTGGTAGAATTTTAATTTTATTTATATTCACAATTTTTAATTAATTATTATTTTAAATTTAATTTTTTTAGAATTAGAATTAATTAAGTTAATTTGATTTATGTTTAATTAATTAATTAGATTGATTTTGCTTAATTGGTTGAGTTTTAACTTTATTTATATTATGAATTGTTAATTAATTGTTATTTTAAAGTTAATTAAATTAGAATTAGAATTAATTAAGTTAACTTGATTTATATTTAATTAATTAATTATGTTAATTTTGTTTAATTGGCTGAATTTTAACTTTATTTGCATTAGAAATTGTTAATTAATTGTTATTTTAAGTTAATTTGGTTAGAGTTAGAAATAATTAAATTGATTTGATTTATATTTTATTAATTAATTAAGTTAATTTTTAATTTTATTTAATTGGTTGAATTATAATTTTATTATATGGACGGCAGCCCATGTATACATGAATATGATTCCATTCTATCCATACTTCTCGTTTATCCGAAAAGAGATGGTTGTGGAGGGATTTTTGTCTACAAAGGAGGAGGGGTAGAGACAAGTAAATACATCCAACTTATTTGGATATGAAGACGAATATGATATCTTTCAACTCGAGGGACATCTATTCTTAATTTATAAATGTAAAATAATTTATACATTTTTATAAAAAGATTACTTTGATTAACTTTGCGGAAAAATATTTTATTTTTCATGAACTATATACTTTATATTATGAAAATTGGTCCTGAAAAAAATCAAGTGGAGCCAGGTATGAAAAATTGAAAATTGCCTCCGATGTAAATGAAGACAAGTATAGAGGTTGGGAAGCATCCATGGAAACTGAAGTAGAGAAAGCATCTTCTGCCTGCATGGACCTCCGTTGCCATGACTCGTCTTCAACAGATTTTTTGCCAAACTCAAGCTACCATGCCTGGTGGAGTGGTGGTGGAACACCTTGATTTAACCGTAGAGGCAGTCATGTGAGCTGCCTGCAGTTGATTGCTACACAGGTGAGATTTGAGAGCTATGGCATCGTGCAGTCGTTTCGATGCTGTTCATGAGAACGAAGAAACTCAAACAAGCCAAAATGGGGGATGCATATTGCATTGCAACAGCAATCAAAACACAGTACAACATAATTAAAGTTTGGCCCTAGTAACATTAATACGGCATAACATTGACCCATAAGCTGAGTCCTTTCATAGATGCACCATGGAATTTAGCATGATCTGTTTTTCTATTTTCCTTCTGGATAGAACAAGCAGGAACTTAAAAATATACATGATGACTAACATCTAGATGCAGTACGATGGCACATTGGCAGGGCGATAGACGAAAGGTTTGACTGTATGAGAAAAACCAGATGGACGATTATAACTAAACTTCACGCCTTTGCTGGCTTCTCCAAGTTGGGTGCACTGCTCATGGAAACTACTGATAGGTCGTGAGAGGCATGCATCCCAACGGTCACTCTCAGACATGGTCTCTGCGACAGTGTAAATCCCCTTATCATTTGTGAAGGCCTGGTAGTTTAGAACTTCCCCGGATATCGTTATGCAAAGAACAGCTACTTCAGCACCTTCATCAAAAACAAGCAAAATCACCCCATTTTAAATCTATTTGAATTTAATTAAATACAACCTACAATAATAGCCATCGTTGCTTCATAAAATTCAAAATTTAACAAATATAGCAGAAAAAAATGTCATTTTCTGTAGCCCATGGCGACATCACAATAAGCAAAGTCATCCCGGACCAGGAATCCTTGTGCTTTTTGAGTGTTTGAAGGTACCCAAAATATAGGCCATCGTAAGAATGAAGTTGGCAGGAAATTCCACGTTTGCAAGCATGTTTGAAGGCGCACTAAAGGTTGACAATGAAGGGATGCCACCCAAATTGCAGTACACATCAAAAAAATATTGGGGGCTTTGTAGCTGACAGAAAATTTTCCTCAAGGTCATACAGCAAACAGTACTTGGAATCATGTATTTGACAGTCCAAAAACAAAATGAAGCAACTTAATCTAGTTACATCAACAAACACAGACAAACCAACAACAGCTGAGGGGTTAAAGGGAACAATCTGCAAAAAACTCCATAATTTAGGCGTCAGCATTAAGAAATACACAGGTTAACCAAAATCCCTTTATGGCTATTTGCCGACAGATTAATCAATAGCAGATATCATGATCACATGGAAACTACAAAGAAATCAAACTCTCAAAACAGTCTTGGAGTGTAGCTAACATCTGGCCAAACCATCACCACAATAACGATGTAGCTAATGCGCAAAGACCACAGGGTAGAAACTCGTGATGGCAGCAATACAACAAAATATTTGTACCCACAAAAACAAAAAAAAGCACAGTTTCATCATTCCCCATTAACAATCTGAATCAACTATATCCAAATACACTCACAAACAGAACCAATTTCAATCCAATTACACTAATAAACAAGCTATTTGGACCTGACACAGAAAAGAAAGAACAAAAAGGATCCATCACTACCAATCCCAAATCCTTCGAAATTGAGATTTACTTAACAGGTGTAAGTACACTCACAAACAAATCAGTAACCATCAAATTATATATATATATATATATAAAAGGGAACAATTTTTAGCGCAGACCATCGCTATAATCACCAACACATTAATTAATCACTCACCCTCTACAAAACCCATGAAAGATTTAAACTTTTACACATCAAGAGACAAGAAACAAATAACAAAAGCCCATTTCAAAAATTTAACTAAAGAACACATTTATCTAAGACACAAAACCAAATAAGAGAGTGAGAGCGAGGGAAGGAGGGAGGGACCTTCTAAAACATGATCTTCAGGTCCAATAGAAGAATCACCACAAACATCACAAACAACTCTTCCATGAATTTCACCTGTCCAAGCTTTGACACCAGAGACAAAGGTTGCTGACAATAGAAAAAGACCCAGTACCAGATTTCTCAGTTGTGACTCCATGACTCGTTTTTTTAGGTTCCCAAATGTCCAAAATGCAAAAAGCAGGAGAATTTACGCACAGATAGCGATTTTTATTATATGTTAATAGGTAAGACATTTAATGACTTTCTTTGTTTACTTTGTCAAAGCTTCTCTACTTGTGTCTGTCGGTCACTGAATTGAAATATTTTCAATTTTTTCTTTATTTTATAATTAAATTGTTAGCAAAAATATATATAAAGTAAAGTTTTTAGGAGTTAAATTTAAAGTTAAATCAATAATAAAAATGAAATTAATTGGCATAATCGTGTTTGATATTCATTGGTCAACATGGAATGTTGCTAATCTTAGCCTTATCTTTACATGGTTTATAATATACGATATCAAAATTTTCAATTCATAATTTCTTTTTAAGCTATTCGTTGTGCCTTGAATAAAGTAAATTATAATTTAATTCTTTAGTTTTGATAAAAAAAAATTTAATTAATTTTTTCTGTTTTAAAAATTAATATTTAGTTTTTTATTTGTTCATTTATGTTCCTTCCAAATTTGTTTTGTTTTTCTTTTAAAAAATAAAAAAATAATAAATAAATAAATATTATAAAAAAATTAATTAAAGAGATAAAATAATATTAAATTAAATACTATTTGTCAAATGACTAATTAATTAATTTTTAAAATAAAAAAATAATTAATTTTTTTTTGAAACTAAATAGAATAATTTATAATTTATTATTCTTGAATATAAGTATATAATTTCACTAAAAACTAAGAGTAAAATTCAAATCTGTCACACAAATTAATGAATTTTTTTTCCTGACCGTTCAAACTAATTTATGAACTTTTCTAATAATAACTGACTTGTGTTTTGGGAGAAAATTGTTATATTTAGTAAAAGAAAATACTCGATCTTTGTATTTTTTTTTAATTATTATTGCAATAGTCAAAGCTGATAAAGAAAAATGAAAACGTTCTCAAATGTTAAATGTATTTGTTTTCATCGTTTAAATAATTGAGTTGCAATTTTAAAATTTAAATTTTCTCATTAATTAAAAAATAAAATATCAACTTGCAAATTATTTTTTCGAGAAGAAAAATATGTTATTTCTCATTCCATCTAGATTTTTTTTTTTTCATGCATGTTAGAATTGAATAAATTATAAATTAATCTATTTTTTCAAGAAATGAATTAATTAGTCTTTCTGATTTCAAATTTTAATTATTTAATTCTTTAAATCAATATTAACTATGATTAATTTAATATTTTTTATTTTACAAAATGTATCATCTTCTCATCAAACTTTCCATAATTTTAACTTATTTTTTTTCTATTTCTTAAAATAAAAATAAAAATAAATTAAAAAATAACAAAAAAACAAATGATTGTGTTTTAAAACTAAAGGGATTAATTAATTCTTTTCTCAAAACATAAGGGATTAATTTATAATTTACTCTGTTAGAATTGTGTAGTTAAAATGTAACGTTTTACACTTTAGGGACTAAAATACAAGTCTTCGACTTTATTATACATATGTAACTACTAAACCTAAGTTTCTCTTAGCAGCCTCTGTCTTCTCTTCACAAGCGCTGCTAAGCTTGTATCCCTTGCAAGGGTGATCTCCTTCATTATCACTATATTACTACGATTCACTTTTTGATTTGCATCCCCATGAAGAATGAAATGATGTTTGAATTAAAAGTAGTGGGCTGATCTCCGTTGATGATCATTAACCAATTCTGAGGGATGTGCCGCTTATTCTGTTTGGTTTCTGTCGTTTATTCTGCAAATCTAGTTTTCTGGTGAAATAATGTCAGGGTTCTGTTTTTAATGGGCTTTTGGTTAATGGGGTTATTTAAAATGTGATAAAAGTTTATCTTTTGACTATATTCAGGGCCTATGCAAAATGTGTGAAGTTTTCTTTAATGATATTGGAGGTCTTATGATATTGTTTTGTGTCCCTATGAAGAATAGAGTAGAAAGTAAAAGTAGTGGACTGATTCTTCTTGATGAGTACTGGATTCTGAGGGATGTACTGGTCTTCTTTTTTATTTATGATACTTTAAGTTTCAACTTCTTCACTTTTGAATTTCTTCAAATTTTTTGTTTTGCATCCCCATGAAATTTTGTGCAATGATATGATCCTTATTGCTGAACTATGCACTTTGTAGATAGCACCAATGTAAACCAATTTAAATTGGTTTGTTCACATTCTTAGTGTAAACTTATGTTTCTGTGCAATACAATAGGTCTTAAAAATTGTGTCTGTTGAACGGTAAAATTTGGGGGCAGGATGATGGAATTGGTTTATCTAGAATTTAGCAGATGCTGAAATGCCTTGGTGGAATGTTGTTAGTATAACTAAATAGAAGTTTACTGGATATATTATCATATCAATTAGATCCAGGCAAAAGGTTCAGATAGTTGAGATATGTTTTCAATGCTAGATCATAAGTGTTTATTCCTGCTTTCCTTTTCTTCACTCGCCTGTTGAATTTTTTATTCTTCAATGCTAGAACACGAGCTGCACATCTCTGTGATGAACGATTTGAAATTTAAAAGTAGTGGACTGATGTCTATTGATGAAGAAATGATTCTGAGGGATGTGCATTTTTGTGAGATTACATGATTAAAATTAGTAGCTGGTATTGTATTTTAGTGTCAAAAGGTTTGAGAGTTGTGTTTTATTGTGGGATTGCTTTAAGTAATTTGGAGTTTCTGGGAGGTCTCTGATTTCTCTATGCTGTGATTGTTTATGTATGTTTGGAGAGTCTTACCTGATATATTGAAACCAAATGATGAATTTGGATGTAAATTTCTCACGATGGTCATCTGAGACACTTCAAGTTTCAGTGTTGATCCAACAATCCAATGTTTCTGATGGTTTCATCTATTTTAAGAACTGACACTTACAGAAGGTAGCAAGTCAAATATCTGTATTCTAACTTATCTTCAATTTGATTCTCTTCTCTGTTGACATTTAATTGGTACATATTATTTTTCCACTAGCCAAAATTTTTGTAAGTATTACTCATTTATATGCATTTTTCACTGCTGTTAATTGGGATCGTTATTTTGCTTTCATGTGTTGAGTTTACATGTTGGTCTTTGTGTTTATTTCTTTCGAGGATCACCACATCTGCATTTCTCTCCTCACCTACACTTCGTTTATATGTCCAGGAAGCAACACTACTATAATTTCTTGTGTGAATTCAGTCTGTGCTGCCAGATTGGAAGTGGAAGGATTTTGAAGTTGAAAAAATTGTTACTGATGCTCACAAAAAAGTTTCTGTAAAGTAGGTTGAAATTAATCTTTCTTACATCTCCAGTTCTCCTGGAAGTGGAAGGATTTTGAAGTTGAAAAAATTGTTACTTATGCTCACAAAAAAGTTTCTGTAAAGTAGGTTGAAATTAGTCTTACTTACATCTCCAGTTCTCCTTTAAAGTTATGTAACTTCCCCGCTTTATGGTTGTGGATTTCAATATTTACTGGACAAGTTTGAAATTGAAATGTAATTTCTTATCTAGTTCATGGATTCTTGCTATTCCTTTTTGCAATCAGTAACTGTGCTGATGATTTACTGGACAAGTATGAAGCAGACTCTTTTATGAGGTTCCTGAGTACCCCTTTCACTGTTGCTGCATTTCCCAAGTTAATGAGCCATTTTCTGGGATTGCTAGTTGGAACTCTTCACCTCATTGTAGTGTAATGGCGCCTGTGTGAATTAACATTGGACTTCTTACTACTAATACTTTGATATGCTATAGGGCGGGTGTTCCAGAATTTCGGTAGACCTAGATACAGCAATAGGTCAACAACAATCAAAATTCCGTCGGTTAACACTGAATTTTTCGCATCTGTTCACCAAATTTGCTGTGGAACACATCCACTATGCATGGTGGTATCTGGTAAACAGGTAACTGATGACAAATTCACAATCCAAAAATATTAGAACTTGGAATTCCAACTTCTGGGCTAAAGGCGCAGGAAAGAAAGAAAAAACACCCTGTTATAGGGCAGGTGATATTGTCACTACCAATTAGGCGAGCCACACTCCCAGTAGGGTTACTCATATTAGGTTTTCATTTGCCAAAAGAGGGCTTGTTCAAATAACGAGTGGTAAGCCTAATGACCGAGGATAAAGAGATGAGAGAAATGCCAATGACTTGAATAATACATTACATATACAAAGTGAATAATTTGGAACAAGAAAAGGTCTAAAGGATCATTGAAAATGGTTATTTTCAAGATAGTATTGTCAAGCTAAATTGCAGATAAGAAGACAAGGTTCACTATTTTTCACTCCTTGAGACAAATCATTTAAAAAAAAAGAAAGAAAAAAAGTTCATAAGGAAACATCTCTTTATGACTTAATTTCAAAGCTAAATTGCAAGTTTGTAATAACCATTCCGTAGCACCAAAGGTTGATGTTATTTGAATTAAAGCAAAGGTAATGTCAGTAATGGTTAGTAATTAAACTACAAGGTGGTAGTAATAGTTAGTAATTAAATTATAAAGTGATAGCCCACTAGTAAATAAATGTCAACTTATAAATCAGATTCAAGATTCGATTTTTGTGATCAACACTTCTGAGAATTTATTCTAAAAATATCTAAAATCGTGCATTAAGAAGTGTTCTTTAATCATGTCCATGAAAACACTAGTATCAAAATATATGAAAGCTGATCCAGAATATCCTTACTATTGAATCTAAAAAAATAATGGTTAATAATTGAAATCATAGCCTGCATTCTTTTATTTATTTTTTATTTTTATAAGCCCTATATTCTTAAAATTGAATGTTTTGGTAACAAAAGAGAAAAAAATAAAAAAAATAAAAAAAAAACGAATGTTTTAACAATTTGGGCCGGGCCTGTGTTGCGGGAGCAAATGATCAATATATACAACTCGGCCCAAATGCAAAAGACACCCTTACACAGACACACCCTTTCAACAGACCTCCTATTTCCCATCTTCTTACCGCACTAAACCCTAACCCCTCTGCTCCCCTACTGACTTGTAAGTAACCTTGATCTGCTTTTTCAACATTTTTGTTTATGTAATTTTTTCATTTTGGTGTACAATATTTTCCAATTTAATGAATTTCTTTCTTTCTTTATTTATTTATGTTATCACTTTACTTAGATCTTGTTCTTGCCTAAATTTTCGTCGGGGTCATTGTATAATTTATCTGGTGTTAATTTTTATTGCAACTTGTAAATTTATGTAGTAGGTTTAACAGCGAAGGAAATGGTTGGATCCAAAATCCCCTGAATGCATTTGGGTTCTAATCAGTCCTTGTATTCTGGCTCGTGCTGTTTTCACCGTGGAAATTACCCTTTCGCAAAGAGATGTTGGGCTCTAATGAATCCTTTTCCCGCTGAACGTGATCTTGCTACTTTTTTTTTGTGGAAATGGCCCACTTTTTAAGATTTTTGATAAACAGTTTATTTTTTATTTTTCTCAGAAATTTGTGACTTGTCGAAGTTTTCTATACTGGCATTCTGTTTTAGAAATTCGATATGCAGTTAATGGTAGTTGGGTTACTCTCTTGAGTAATAGACTATGTTGGCTTTGATTCTTAAAGTTTCTTTTATACTTGTGCATTATTGTAGAGTTAAGCTCCTGCTTAGCTGGTTTTAATAATGGGAAGTTTTCAACTGTGTGATAAAAGTTCGTTTTATTTTTATAATTTCAATCTGTTGTTATTTGTTCTTTGAATTCCTATGTGGTATCCTCACAAGAACATTTTGAACAATTACTGAATGGTTAAAGCTTTTTTAATGAAAATCTCCTTATTGAATTATGTTTGTTGTGTTCGGTTGGTTTTTTAGGGGAGAAGCTCGTTGTTTAAGATGGAGGTAGGCAAGGAGAATAGGAATATAAAAGATCACCACCGACGATTGCTTGCAGAGAAATTTGAATTGAGGCGAAACCTTTACAAGGCACTTGTTAGAGATCCCACTCTTCCTCAGGAGATGCGTGAACTACATGCCTATAAGCTGGCCAAGTTGCCAAGAAATAGTTCCTTTACACGAGTGAGAAACAGATGTGTTTTCAGCGGTCGTCCTCGTGGTGTTTATCAGCTCTTTAGGATGTCACGTATTGTTTTCCGTACGTTGGCAAACCAAGGTGTGTTGAATGGAATAAGGAAGGCATCCTGGTAATGGGACATGGTTTGGGTTGGGTGGCAGCTGGTGGTGCACAGGCAAAGGATACAGATTTGACTTAAGGTGGTACTTTTGATTTTAGAATAAAGTTGCCTTCCTTTGCAGCTCCTGTTCTTATATTAACTATACAGGGCATTTGCAATCGGTTTTGTGCATGACTTTAAATTTTTGTGTTTGATAAAATTCTGGACTATCTTTGCATCATATCGTTTACTATTTGCCCCGTTAGAGGATATATTTTGTGATCCATGCCCCTGAGAACTGAATCATTATGCATGGAATGGTGTATCAGTTAAGCTAGCATTATTCCACAGAAAACAATACAGGAGCCTGATCCTTTACTTTCCTGGCCAAAACTGTTGAGGGGAATGAGAGAAGATGCTCAATCATCTTAAAAATGTTGGCAACTATAGATGCCTTCCATGCTCTTTAAAGTTTTGGGCAAAACACAAAATTCAAAATAGGAACATTCAAGTTATGAGATTTTCAAGTTCAACAGAAGCCAGCCAAGTTTACGAGGATTGTGACATAAAAACAGTAGTTTATGATGACATGTAATACGCATAGTGAGCCCTTCATGGCTGCCGAACAGGTATGGCCTGTTGCCGTTTAACCAAATGTTCCCATGGGCTGGTGCTATTATTAGGTATGGCCTCTTCACATCGTCAGGCAATTTTAACCAAATGTCCAGTTGGAGAGTTTTGGTGTATATGACTTTCAGTCAGCAGTATCACTTAAAAATAACTAGACGGTTTTGGTACGATAGTAACATTTTATTTTATTTTATTTTTTTCAACATTGCAAGTGTTTCCTGATTTGAGGCTAATCATTTTCTGGGAATGATTAAGGATCACTTCCAAATACAAAGCTTTGAATATTTTAAAAATAAATTTTCAAGAATGCTATTTATAAAAATCAAATCTTAAATCTGGTTTATAAGTGGACATTTACGAATGAGTAGACTGAATTGTATTTAATTTATTAATATTTTGCTAATCTAAGTAAAGTAAAAAAAAGAAAAAAAAAATCATATCATGTGCAAACCAAGTATGACAATAGCTAGTCATGTATAAATCAGTAGGCACTGGATTTAACCTGATAAACTAACGGAGGAAACACTTGCACGTCTGCTGCATTTGTCAGGGCAAACTTGAGCAACATAATTAGCAAAATAAATAGGCTAAAAGATTCAAACGTCTCCCGAACTTTAATGTATATATTTTGAACATCAGTTTCTCAATTTTTAATTTGTATTTTAACCTTTTTGAACTTTTTTTTAGATTTGGTCCTTTTTTCCCATTTTCTGTTATTTATACTAAAAAATAATTACATAAATAGGTTTATGATGAAAATCATTTAATGAAAATTATTTGGAACTCTTCAAAAAATTTGGAATTGTTTCGGGTTATTTTTTTTATTTTCTATATTTTTATTGTTTAAAAAATAAACAAATATGATTTCCAACCTTGAAAAATTATAGATTTTTTCTAAAAAAATGGATTGAATTTTTCTCAACGTGTATTCAAAATTTCGGATCAAAATACCAATAATTAAATTTTTTTAGAGGGCAGGGGTGATAACTGAAAATCATAGAATGGATTAAATGTCAAAAAAAAAAAAAAAAGATTAAGGAAGATCAAAACATGAATTAAAAATTTAAAAGCTGATTTTCAAAACAGTCACAAAACATTTAGATTAGTATTGCATGCTTCCGTTTGTGTTTTTGGGTTTTGATTTTAGGATTGAATATGATAGAAATAAAGGAAGATAAAGTTTGGGTTTTGATTTTAGGACTCAAGATGACAAAAGGAAAGGAAGGCCAAGCGAAGAAGAAACTATGTTTTTGGGTTTTGAATTTAAGGTTCAAATTTTACAAAGAAGAGAAAAAGGGAAGAAAGGGAAGGAAAGAGAGGGGAAGAGTGGGCTAAGGGAAGAAAGGGAATGAAAGTTTGTAGAAGAAAGTTTGAGAGAAAAGAAAAAAAAAAGGTCAAAAAAATCATTTCGTCTTCTCATTTCATCTTCTCGGTTAACTATCACATCATTAATTGACAAAAAGTTAGACGAAAAATTAAATTGAAAATTTTGAAAAAATTGATATGCTAAACTAAAAAAAAAATAAAAGTTTATATACTTAATTGAGAAAATATCTAAAGTTGATGTACCAAAAATTTAATTATCCCTTTCTTTCCCCCTTCTTGTTCTCCATCTATTCTCTTCTCTATTCTCTCTTTCTTTTTTCTTTTCTTTTTTCTATTCTCTCTCAACCAACAAATCTACCGATGATTGTTTCTTCTTTTGATTTCTCATGTACTTGTTAATTTGATTAAACTTTTTGGTAATATATGGAGTTTGTGTTTTTTTTTTTTCTAGCTATTATTGACTAATGGTGGTGGAAGAGGAAGGAGAAAGCCGAAAGGTCAGCTTATGGCTTGTGGCTTGTGACTTTTGTTTTTCATTTGTGGACCTAGTGGAAGAGGAAGAAGAACGATTTTCCTTTGCTAGCTCTAGTGGAGGTAAGAAATGCTAAATTTCTTGAAGGTCTTGATCTCGGTGGGAATGATTTTTCTCGGGTGATAGAATTTGAAAGAACACAAAATTCAATAGAATTGCATAAAGATATGAAATAAATAGTTATTGTTCAAAAATAAATAAATAAATTAGACAATATTAAACAACAACCTCAAGAGCAACCAACTCGGATGAGATTATTTCACATGAAGAAATTGAATTAAGGAGATTTTCAAGAGTAAAGCAACCAACATTTCTAATGAGCTAGTATTTTGTATACCTTTAAGAGTCTAACTTTAATGTTGGGCTAAAGAGCTAGTATCTTGGTTTGACTTTAATGTTGGACCTAAAGATAATCCAAATTCATTTTTAGAAGTCGTGAATAGAGAAAATTCTGTTTTATGGTATAATGTTACGAAGAAAATGTTATAGTCCGTGTTTAAAAATTAAGTTCACAAGCTATGAATGGAGAAAATTACACATTATGGTATAATTTTACAAAGAAAATAATGAATTTTATGTTTAAAAATAAAGTTTGAGATTTCGTCAAATCACCAAAAGGTTAGCTACAAATGGGTTTATGATTTTATTAAAAAAAAAAAAATCGAAGTAATAACAAGCAATATAAAGCTACATAGACTTATAGTTAAAAATTATACCAAAAAGAAGATATAGATTATCATGAAATTTTATCTCAAATCTTTAAAAACAATTCATTTAGAATGATAATGGCATTGATAATTTATTTTGATTTATAGCTATATATAGATGTTAAAACATCATTTTTAAATAAATGTGGATGAATTAACATACATAAATAAATCTGAAATAGTTATGTTAGTTTAATAGATATAAATGAAGAATTGAAATTTTAATGAAAGTTTAAGAGAGTAATTAATACAAATGAAGCATAAAGGGGAAAAAAAGAGAAACCCCTCAAACTTCAAGGGAACAAATACAATTTACCCTTAATAACTTGTCTTGTACTAAATTTTCCTCATTATTTAACAAATTATTTGTTAGCTTACAAAATTAAATTGATTTATGTACTTACTTTAGTTTCTTAAAGTTCAATACAATGTCCAAATTTTTAATATGATTTTCTATACATGCTTTACAAAGAAAAATAAATCTTAATTAATTCTTTTTATAAGGATTTAAAGATAGACTTTAAAAATTTATACACTTTTAGAACTAAAATGAGAAAATTTGTCAAATTTTGGGAGATAGATATAAAATAAGAAAATTAAAATAATATAAAAAAGCATGCAAATAAATTCATTTGTAGTGTATGATTTTCTTAGAAAAGAATCAACAAATATAAATAAATAAATACATAGTAAATTATAAAATAAGTCCCTTTAGTTTTTAGAAACGAATTAATTAGTTTTCTTTAATTTAAAGCTATTATTTAATTCTTTTACTAATGTTGACCACACTTAATTTAATATTATTTTATTTAAAAATGTCATATTTTGTCACGAGTCCTTTCATTTTTTTACTTTTATTTTTATTTTTTATTTCTTGAAAGTAAAAAATAAAAATAAATTAAAAAGAGCTAAAAGGATGAAGTTATATATATATATATATATATATATATATATATATATATATATAGAGAGAGAGAGAGAGAGAGAGAGAGAGAGAGAGAGAGAGAGAGAGAGAGAGAGAGGGAGAGAGACTAAATAATTAGTTCTTATAACAAGGTAGACTAATTAATTCATTTCTCAAATTAGACTAATTCATAATTTACGCAATAAATACAAATAAAAAGAGATTAGGGCCGTATGGTAGGCTTGTGTAGGCTGCCCAAAAACAGGACCATTAGGAAAAAAATAAACATTTGATTTTTGTTTGGTTGATCATGCTTAATTTGATATTACTTTATTAATTTCAAAATAGTTCCTCTTTGCTAAAAGATGTTTCTATAATGTCTATTTGTTTTTTATGCTTTTTAAAAAAAAAATTGAAAAAGAACATAAAATGGATGAAAAAAAATATATATATTAGTTTTTGGAACCTCAACGCCTAATTAATTCATTTTTTCAAAACTAAAGGAACTAATTATATTTACTCAGCGTTCTATAATGTCTAGATTCTTATTATTTGATGTCTAGTACACTACTGAATTTAATAATTTTTTATTGTTTTATTCACATCTAGTGATTTAACCATCATTGATACATATATAAGTAGCAAAGTATGACACTGTGCACTTAAAATAATTATAACTAACAAATTTGCTGCTTATTAAGGGTTTTTTTAAACAAAAGAATTTCTGGCTCATAATCTTTTCGTAAACGACAAAAAAATGTCACATAGATATTGGATAGGGGAATAATTAGGTTCTAGCCTCTTAAAAATGAAGATGCCAATATGAAATTAATTACTTCCACTTGTTTTGAAAAATACATTATAAAGTAAATATACTAATGATAAGTAGTAACAGGGAAAAAAAAACAAAAAAAACTGGTGATAAGCAATTTTTG